AACTCCACTACCGTATAGAGCTGTGACCGATGCTTGTTCAGTAACCTCAAGGAACCTCACACTGACTGCTCTTGTGTCTCCAACCTTCTGCTTTCTGTCTGCAGAACAACAACCAAGAGTCAGTGAGGGGAATGCCATAACCATGAGGAAGTGACCGAACATGAACCGATGCTACAAGATGCTGGGAAAAGCTGTACCGATGAGTGAAACTGCACACACACACACACACACACACACACACACACACACACACACACACACACAGTAAAGGTAATTTTTGCCAGCCAGATTCCCAGAAATCACATTGTGCGAACACATCCCCTAAGTGCACGCTGAATGCTAATGAGAACCACACTGTAAAAAGAGGGTGCCCAGACCAGTAAAACTGAGCTCCCTCTGGAAGCTGGAAACATTCCTCTGCCGACAATCAACCCATGAGAGACCCATCAGCCCCCAACATTAGCTGGGAGGACATGAGAATGTTTGTAACACATGCATCGGAATTTCTATATGCCTCGGTAACTATAATATCAATTGTAACTTTACTAAAGCTTGTAAAACAGAGAGAACTTGTACTTGAAAATAGGGGTGTGGTCCCTACCCTGAGTCTTTATCTGTTCCTTGAGACTCTAGCCATGAAGGAAGTAGCTAAGGTGACCTGCACTCTTCTAAGGCCATGTCTACACTCTGGGGAAGATCGACACTGTTGTGATTGATGTTCCGGAGTTTGATTTAACGGGTCTAGTTAAGACCTCCTAAATCAAATTCAGAGGCTGCTCCAATCAGTGGCCAGTACTTCTGCTCCTGCAAGGGGCTAAGGGAAGCCAATGAGAGTGTTTATTCCCATTGGCCTCCCATTCCCGGACAACGGGAAAAATCAAATCAAAGTCTCTTGATTCCAGCTACATAAGAAGCAAAGCTGGACTTGCATATCTTGATTTGACCTTCCCCTTTCATGTAGACCTGGCCTCAGATAGAAACTGTAGCCACGGCAGAGTCAAACCCAAGAGGGGAAATACCTGTGGCAGACTGAGAGCAGGGGGCTGTAGAAGCCAAGTGGAAAGCAGATGCATGGGGAGCAGTGTATGCGGTTTTATGTTCTTGGTATGGGCCGCCAGAGAATGCGGCCTAGCCAGTTCAACACCTGAAGCTCCTCTGTCATCATCGTGAAGGGAAGGCTAATCAGAACACCTGTGGCCAGTTAAGACACCATAAAACCCCTCCCTCAAGCAAGGCAGGGGAAGGAGTGGAGGGAAGGACCAAAGGAGAGGTAAAGGAGAACAGAGCAGCCCAGCACAAAAGGCCGACCCTAGGCAGCCCGCAGAGAGACCTGACCCAGGGCATTGGGAGGAGATAGGAAGGGTTGCGGGAATGGCCCAGGGAGGGGCTGCTGTTCAGTGGAGCAGGGGCCCAGCCTCGCGGCCCACTCGGGTCTACCTCCCCACAGGGCCCTGGGCCAGAACCCGGAGTAAGTGGGTGGGACGGGGTTCCAGCAAGAAACAGGGACTAGCGGAAGGCCTGACCTCCCATAGCCTGGACTTGCTATGATAAAAAGGGCTTGGACAGTGGGGTACCGTTGCCTTCTTGGCAGTGATAGGGACACCGCGAGCCACTGAGGCGCACAAAGGAAACCCCACCAGGAAGTGCTAAGTTGACTTAGCCCCAACCGGCCACACCCCCCCTTGACAAATTCACTTTAAGAAAAAATAAAAGGCTACAGATGGTATCCTGCGAGTGGCTCTAAAGAACATACAAAGGACGACAAAAAGGAAGAAACCTTTAGTGGGGAAGATTGATGCTGCTGTGATTAATCTTCCAGAGTTTGATTTAGGGGGTCTAGTTAAGACCCGCTAAATCAAATTTGGAGGTTGCTCCAATCAGCAGCCAGTACTCTTGCTCCTGCGAGGGGGTAAGGGAAGCCGATGGGAGTGTTTTCTCCGGATGGCCTCCCATTGTGGGGACGAAAATCAAATCAAAATACATCAATTCCAGGTACATAAGTAACATAGCTGGACTTGCGTATCTTGATTCGACCTTCCCCTTTCGTGTTGACCTGACCTCGGATTGAAACTGAAGCCACAGCAGAGCCAAACCCAAGAGGGGAAACACCCCATTACAAAATTCACTTTAAATAAAATAAAAGGCTACAGATGGCATTTAGCAGGTGGCTCTAGAGAACATACAACGGACAACAGAAAGGATGAAGCCTTTAGACCTTACGGGTGGAAGGAAATGAAGATCAAGTACCTCATGTAGGTAACAAGGACTGTGGGATGCGTGCTGTGACTGAGAAATTCCTGCGTTCAGTTATGCTTGCTAATGAGTTTTTGTGTGGTTTTGCTTGTCTGTGTATGTGATGTTGTAATCACCCAGCTGAGAAAGAAAAATAAAGGGGAAGTGTCTTCCCATTCATGCTGAGGGTGTTGAAAATAAGGACGGTGTCTTCTTGGTGAGCGAAATGTAAAGGGAAGCATCTCGTACAGTGGGATGAAATAAAGAAATAGCCGCTGTGGGTAAAGAACTGGGCAGTATGGGAGAAGCGAGTCACAGCACTAGCTGTCGTTAATAAACTCCAGAAGCTTTATTCCTAAGTCCCTGGCCCCAAACTCTGGACTCTTCAGGACTGCACCACTGAAGGAAAACTGTGCGGGGTCATTGCCCTGGTTCTCGGTGATGGGAAGGAAGCCCCATAGAGAAGTGGTTTCCAAACTAGGGGTCGTGACCCAGCGTTGGGCGGCAGGATGTCGGGCGCTGGGGTTTGTGGCTGCAGGGGATCGGGTGAGCATAGGAGAGGGTGGCTAAGGCAGCTCCCTAGCTGTCCTGGTACCCCAGGCTGTGCTGCACCCCAGAAGTGGCCGGCACCAAGCCCGGCTCCTCGGTGGGAGCGGGGAGTGCTCAAGTCTCCATGCACTGCCCCACTAGCGCCGCACTCCCATTGGCCAGGAACCTGCTGCTGGCTGCCTCTTTGTAGAAATTCAAGTGGCCAGTGTAGACAGCTGGCAAGTTTTTCCGGAAAAGCAGATGATTTTGCGGAAAAACTTGCCAGTCTAGACACAGCCCAGAAGCTTTATTCCTAAGTCCCTGGCCCCAAACTCTGGACTCTTCAGGACTGCACCACTGAAGGAAAACTGTGCGGGGTCATTGCCCTGGTTCTCGGTGATGGGAAGGAAGCCCCATAGAGAAGTGGTTTCCAAACTAGGGGTCGTGACCCAGCGTTGGGCGGCAGGATGTCGGGCGCTGGGGTTTGTGGCTGCAGGGGATCGGGTGAGCATAGGAGAGGGTGGCTAAGGCAGCTCCCTAGCTGTCCTGGTACCCCAGGCTGTGCTGCACCCCAGAAGTGGCCGGCACCAAGCCCGGCTCCTCGGTGGGAGCGGGGAGTGCTCAAGTCTCCATGCACTGCCCCACTAGCGCCGCACTCCCATTGGCCAGGAACCTGCTGCTGGCTGCCTCTGGGGGGCAGCATGTCTGTGGGGCAGGGAGAGGCAGGAAGCTGCCTTAGCCTCCCCCCCCCCACTGCACTGCTG